ACTCGTTTGAGAACGAACGTTTGCTTAAGAGGGAGATAATGTAACAACCCGGCCGGTTGTTTGTGTATTTGAGCCTCGTTCCCCTATGTGATATTTTCCATATGTGTATCTATTACTCTATGACTTGTGGGGTTGATTGGTTTGGCTTTGGAAGGTTCAGGAGTGATTTAGAACACTTAGTGTCATATATGGAAGCTTTTGTTGTAAGAGTTGATCGAGGTTTGACTTTTCTGCAAACGACCTAAAAGTGGGATTTTGAAGGTTCCAATAGGTTCGTATAATGATTTTTGACTTAGGTATATGCTCGGATTTGGATTTGGAGGCTCCTTGGTTGATTTGGCTCTATTGGCGAAAGTTGGAAATTTGATGGTTTGAAAGGTTCATAAGTTTGACCAAGATTTGACTTTGGTGTGATCGAGTTTTATTTGTTGTTTCAATAGTTTGAATATGTTTCTTATGTAATTCAAAACATGCGTGCAAAATTTGAGGTCATTCTGAGTTGGTTAGACATGGTTTGGCATGAATTTTGAAGGTTGGAAGTTAATTAGTTCATTAAGCTTGAATTGAGGTGTGATTTATGGTTTTGTTTTTAATGTTATTTTGTTTGATTTGAGACCCCGAGAAGGACCGTGTTATATTTTTTGGACTGGTTGGTGTGATTGAATAGGGTCCAGAGTAGCTCGGGTGTGATTCAGATGAGTTTCAAAATATTTTGGAACTAGTTGGCAGTACTGTTCTGGTATTTTCGCACCTGTGATGTTTTGAGCGCAGGTGCGAGTCCGCGGATGTGGACAGGAGAGCATAGAAGTGGATTTTGACCTAGGGCAGAGAGTACACAGGTGCACAGCTTGGGGCATATAAACGGTCGCGCACCTGCGAGGTTTTTTCATAGGTGCAGCCTCGTAGAAGGTAGGTCTTGCATCACAAAAGCGGTTGGTCGGAAGTGTTAGTGAGCTGGCACATACGAGCATAATTCTGCAGAAGCGATGTCACCGAAGCGAGCTTTTTGTCCCCAAAAGCGGAATCGCTGGGCAGAGTATATTTTTTGAGGGGTTAGCTTATCTTATCATATTTTGAGATTGTGATCTCGGATTGGGGCGATTCTTTAGGCTATTTTCACCACTTGGATTGGAAAGTATTCTTGGCTTAGATTTGATTTTATTTCATGATCCCATCACTGATTTTGGCATTTGGTTGATGAAATACAAGGGAGAAGTTGGGATTTTTTTCCAGGGATTTTTGGAAAATGAATTATTAAGATTTGACCCCGATTTGGAGTCAGATTTTTATGAAACTTGTGTACTTGGACATTGTATTGGAATGGTGTTTGGGATTTATGAATTTTTTCAAGTTTCGGGAGGCAGGCCCGAGTTACTTTTTGGTTGACTTTGAACAATTGATTAAAGTTTTAATTTTTATTGTTTGGGTTCGGTTTTTATCGCCTTATTTGACCTTATTGGGTTATATTTAACTAGATTCGAGTCATTTGGCGTTGGATTTTTGAGGATTACGCACTTTTGGTAATTTTAAGACTATCGGGTGGAGGTAAGTCTCTTTGCTAACCTTGTTAAGAGAGAAACACCCAGAATTGGACTTGTTAGCTATGTGTTTAAGGCATTGGGGGTAGTGTACATATGTGGTGGTTAGCATATATACATTTACCAAGTTTATATCATGACCAAGGTAGAAATTGGAATATTTCATGCTTTGTTTGACTATGTGCTCAATTATTCTTGATTTATTTGGCTTATGTGACTACATTTGCTCTCCTGTTCATGTTAGAGATCAGGCATAGGTTTATGACTAAATGTGAAGGCACGAGAACTTATTCATGATATATGGAAATGTATAGTTATCCGTAGTCACATAGAGAGTTCATGAGCACATATCTGTATGATATTTTTTAAGTCCTTGTGCACTTGCTACCTATAATTCTTGAGCATATACAAACATTTTCAATAATGGATACGTGATTTAGACTGAGAATTTTTGCACGAAGGATAAGCAGGCAGGCGAGGTACATTTATGGCACATTGGACATGATTATCGGATATTGATTTATGAGGGATGGTATTATTCCCCTTTTGCGCTTGGATTTTGGATCCGTCCCTCCAGAATCAGGCAATAACCCATGTTACTTTGGCCATTGTGAGCGTGGTCAGTACATGAATTTTGTACCGGGTCGATACATGAATGTATCAGGTTATGTGCTACATGGATTATGTATTGGGGTACATGGACCTTGTATCGGTTGGGCATGCATTCTTACTATTAACTCGTTTTGAAGTATTTGTTCAATTGTAAATTGTTACTTGACATCCTTATTTGCTAATTGGGAGTCCTGGCTCCATTATTTGAGCATGTTATCTTTTATTATTGTATCAAAGCAACGATTGGGTTATTTTTGTGCTAGAAAACAATGTTTATGAGTTGATATCTATGACTCTTGTCTTTTATGATATTACTTATTGTTTAGTTATTAAATTCTGTTATTATACTTGTGTGGTAAGTATCTAGAATCCTCTAGCCTCGATACTACTTTTTCGAGGTTAAACTTGATACGTACTGGGTACAGACTGTGGTGTACTCATACTATGCTTCTGCACATCGTTTTATGCAGATCCTCAGGTGGGTCCTAGCAGCATTTTTTGATTGGTCTAGGAGATCTCACGGGGACTTTGGTTAGTTTCGAACCGTTTGGAGGTTCTTTTGACTGCTTTATTGTTGTTGTTGTTATTTTTGTTGTTGTTGTTATTGTTATTGTTATTGTTATTGTTATTGTTATTGTTATTCTGGATCGGGCTACACGCTGCAGCAGGCCTTATTGGCTTTATTATTATTGTGTATCGGGCTGCACGCCCCAGCAGGCCTTATAGGCTTTTGATTAGCTCTTGGGCAGGATCCGCCCCTCCGGAGTCTGACATGCCAACAGAGAGCGTAGACACAATGATATATATACACGTGCTTTGGTGAGGGGTTTATGAGCCAGACACCCATACAGTACTGAGTGATTTTGTGTGTGTGTGGGCGCGTGTGTGTGTGTATGATGAAGTGGACATTTGAGACAGACAGCTTGAGCATGTTGAGGGTGAGAGTACATGTGATATCACCGTGTAATCATTCAGACATACAGACTTGGCATGTAGGCATAGAGATACATTTTTCCTCATGCTAGACAGTACTGTGACATTCATGATTTGACATATAGGGATAGGGATGCATATTCCTCATGCTAGACGGTAGATGGTAATTGATGACTTGACATGTAAGCATAGAGACGTACTTTCGTCATGCTAATTGGTAAAGAGGGATTCTTATCTGGTGTTGTAAATTGGAAATACAGCTCTATTGATAAACTCATGTTTAGTTGATTTTAGTTGTAATGTCTGGACTTGACCGTTATACCTGGAAAGCATGTCTACTTTTCTGTAACTATGAACGAGCTGAGCATAATATCTTTTGAGCTATTAATTTTACTGCCTTCATTATATTATTATGAGTTAATCTTGGCTATTGGTATGGGATACCGACCTTCTTCCGAGCTCGTTACTGCTTGCAACCTAAGGTTAGTTTTGTTATTTATTGAGTATATATGTTTGGTTGTACTCATACTACACTTCTGCACCTTGCGTGTAGATTTTGGAGCTGATGTTGTTGTGTATGGCGAGAGGTGGCATTGAAGATGTACCTGCGTTCCGGTTATAGTGGTCTTTTGTTCTTGGTAGATTTAGATATATAAATATGCTTATGTATATTTCGAACATATGATGTATTTAATTCGTACCAGCTTTGTAAATTCTAAGTCTTAGAAGCTCATGACTTGTACTACTAATCCTTGGAATTTTGTATAAGAAGCCCATTTTTTCATTTATTGATTCATGTGATCCTATTTGGGTTGTGTTGTCTACCATTTGGCTTACCTAGTGGGTTGGATTAGTTTCCATTACGAATAGCTGGATTTTGGGTCATGACACAAAAACCACAAGTTGCTTTCATAAATTTCATGTTTAAGGTGTAGAAATCCATAGGAACTCAAGATATATAATCGAAACCCAGTAAGAATTACTCACCCTCAAGCTTGGGTTAAAAATCTCCTAAAATATATCCACCTCCCAAAGTGTAGGTCTCAAAATGGTGAAAATAAATTAAATCCTAAAATATGGACATTAAATACCCATACCAGCATTTTACTCTATGCGATCGCGACCATCACCCTCGCGATCGCGGAACAGAAGTCCTCCGCCAGAAATCCTCAATCGCAATCGCGAAGCATACTTCACCTCCCCGTCCAAACCTTCTATGCGATCGCATTAGAGCCCACATGATCGTGAATCATTGCCAGCCTTCCCTATGCGATCGCAAGACCCACCACACATCGCTAAACATATAGTCCCTGGCCCCAAATCTCTTGTACGTGATCGCGAGACATAGCTCCGCGATCGTGATGCACTGTTGTGCATAAAAAAACTAGCAATCCAAACTTAATGTGAAATACTCCAAAACTCATCCGAGCCCCTCGAGACCCCGTCCAATTATCCTAACAAATCTGTATTCTTTGCACAGTTATCCAAGAGGTCAAAATATAAATAACAACATCAAAATCAAGAATCAAGAATCAATGCAAATTATGAAACTCTGGTAAGTTCATGAATTCCAACTTTCAACTAGAAGTGTGGAATCAACTTAGGGCCGCCCGAGGCCAAAACCGAACATACATGCAAGTCCTAAATTATTATATGAACTTATAGGAACCTTCAAATCATGAATCAGAGATTGCTTACCCATAATGTTGACTTTGGTTAACTCTTCTTATCTTAAAGCCTCTAGTTGCAAACCAAGTGTTTCAAATCATTCCTGAACCTCTCGAAACCCGAACCAACTATACGCGCAAGCCATAAAACATTATATAAATCTACTCGAGGTCTCAATTCACAGAACGATATATTAGAACTCAAAATAACCGGTTGAATCATTACACAACTGATGAAAAATGCACGAACTACCATCAATTGAAAATCATATATTCTCATTAAATAATACGAACAACACAATCCATTAACGTAGCTCCGCACAAGTTTTTACCTAACTTGCTACGGTCTAGCCTACCTATAAACAAACAACATAAAGAATTTAGTAAACACAATAAAGAATGTGAAAAGATCATATGGAGCATAAATAAATTCAATGGAACTAATTACAACAAGCTTCCAATATGTGAATCAGTAAAAATCATGAGGAAGCCATCCATGGAGAAAGGACGCCTGAGATTAAAAGATCTAAATAAGATCTTTTTCGATACCAAAATATGTCAAGAACTCTATGCTTCTTCCTTCCCCAGCAAATCAAGTCATAACTTCTGCTGCCCTCCTACTTGTTCCATTCATTGAGACAGCAATTGCAAACCAGCTCTTAAATCCTCTAATGTGATTGTGAGTAATTCATCCGAGTCTATACAGTCAAAAGTGAGTCTCAAATCCAAATTTTCTCTTGCATTAACCAGCATTGGATCCACTAGACCTCCATTCATCTCCTTGCGCAGCTTTTCAGTGGTTTCTTCCACGATAAGTGTTGCAACAGCATCAACACTACATGAAGGATTCAACTTAAATCCGTATAACAAGCTGCTCTCAGCTTGATTAGTCATTTTAAGATGAAGAATTTTAGCTAGGTCCTTCGAACTAAAGTTTTCAAAATGAAAGAACTTCGTAACTCTTCTACAAAAGCCTTCATTAGAGGAGATTACACGCTTCATTGGTTCACTATAGCCTGCAAAAATGACTACAATTTTTCCACTGTCCATGACAGACATTATCTCCTCTAGCGCTTCCAAACCATAATCCTTATCATCTGACTTCTGCATAGGTATTAACCGATAGGCTTCATCAACGAAAAGAATTCCCCCTTCAGCTTCTTGGATCTGCAGATAAGTTCAGGTACTCGTTCACATATGATCCAAATATATAGGAAGCAAAATATCAAAAACTTCAGAATCACAGAAGTGTACCTTTCTCCTCGTCTTTGGTCCTGTATGACCAACAAATTCACCAACCAGATCTGTTCTCTGCACTTCCGTCACCTTTTCAGTTGGAAGAATCCCTACCATATGAAGTAACTTCCCAAGAATCCTAGCAACCATAGTTTTCCCTGTATAGTGTATAACAGATGTATAAGAAATCAACCTGGACGATATTCATCAAATACTTGAGCAGAACAATAAATACGTCTGGCAAAATCTCAAGCCAATACCACAATAAAAACCATTAGTAATATAACCACAATTAACATGGTATCTATTTTCTTTTATGATTTAGTGAACCTAAACTTTTGTCTCTTAATAATTATGCATCTGGTCTTTGAGATAAGATAATTGAGACAAAGTATTATGCAGTATTGAATAGACGAGTTGCTCTGTCTGATGACTGATGCTTTAGAATGTACGGCTCAAACTCTATGTTGTAAATGCAATGACATAACCATGATTACCTGTACCAGGGTTTCCAAGAAAAGCCATATGAGGTGGTCTTCTTGCACCAACTTTAAGCCCTAAGGCCTGACGTCTCTCATCCAAGAGCATCCCCTTTGCCCATTTCCGGAGTTGCTGCTTAAGCTCATGTAAGCCCACTATTTTAGACAATTCATTTTCAAGTTCATCCATTTTTGCTTTTGTCTGGCCGCATGCTTCAATAGCTTTTCGTTTCCTTTGTCCTTCAAGATGCCAATTTAGAAGTTCGCGCAATTTTTCATTGCCAGGTCCTTGAGAGAGATGATTTATTGGAGTCATGCCCTCCTGCATTCCATAGACCTACAATTAGTAACGGTCATAAACAGAACTCAAAATCATTGAAAAATACTCTATAATACATTGTCTTCAGCACTACAATTAGCATCATGCTCTAACAATGTCTTGACCGTGGAACAGTCTTCAGCTCGTAGAGAGTGCCAAACAGCAAGATGCAATGGAGTCATCCCATTCTGCAAGAAAGCCACAGAAAAGTGAGAAATCAAATAATAGAAAAAGAAAAAAAAAACCATGTTCAAGCTCAATCATAACCGAAGCAGTACGAATACACACATTTGCTTTTGCTTCAACGAGAGCACCATGAGCAAGAAGCATCTTTACAGCTTCATTACTACCATTCTTGGCTGCCATGTGCAATGGGGTCTCTCCATACTACAATACACAAAATAAGTCCATTTGTTACAACTGACAATGTGAAAAATACTCAACAATAATAACAACAAACTCAGTGTAATCCCATACAGTGTGGTCTGGGGAGGGTAGAGTGTACGCAAGCCTTACCCCTACTCTGTGAAGGTAGAGAGGTTGGTTCCGATAAGACCCCCGGCTCCACAAGCAGAAACAACAAGCAGTAAAGTGAAAAATACTCAATTAATAGAATGATGCCCATACCATATTCTTGGCTTCCATCTCCAACTTTTCTGGCCCAGACCAACCAAGCAAAAACTTGAGTATTTCAACATTATTGTAACCAGCAGCAACATGAAGTGGTGTCTGCACCATCTGCATAAATTGGAAATTACATAAAGAAAGTGCTTTCAGCAGAAATTTGGGTAATCTTGCTCAGACAAAAGACTATGATCAAATAAAAGTTACATATAGTTGCCCTTGTAACTGTTTTGAAACATGAATCCCCTTGTTTTATTCTTTCATTCTAGGACATTCGTATGAAAACTCTATGTAACTTTGAAATAGCCTCTCTATCTCCACAAGATAGGGGTAAGGTGTGCGTACACACTACCCTCCCATTGGATATGTTGTTGTTGTTAGTGTACATAATCGGATCTGGGGAATTGGCAAATGCACGCATAAACCACAAACCAGATTGTATAACAGAGTAGTTCCCAAGAACCCACATTTTCTTTTGCTGGATCCGCAAACACACATTTTCATTTATGCAAACGAATTCAGACACAAAACAAAAACCAGAAACAATGACAAAAAAAATAAAAATAAAAAAGAAAGAAGAAAAAGGTAAGGAAGGAGATCGTACAACAGGATTACGTTCATTGAGAAGAGAAGGATTTCCGGAAAGCAGCTTTTGAAAGGCAAGTAGATCCCCAGATTGAGCGAACCCGTGAATGGTTGTGGATCTAGAGGATCTTGACCGTTGATCTCGTGACCTCTGCATTTTCTTGTCGTATTTTTCCCTATCTCCGGCAGAAAGAAGCAGGGGGGGATAGGCCGTCGGTGGATTTGGGTTTCAGGGGAATTATCTACAAATAAGCCACGGTGACAGCGTGGTAAGAATATTTCCAAATCTAGGCTGGTTGTCGGCTGTCTTAGTTGGCTTCCTTTCCTGCTTGTATCCATTCATCTTGCACCTTACCGTGTAACCTATAGCCCATTTCCTCCCCAGTTTCCACTTCATGTGACAAGTTACTATATGAAGAATCAATTACTTTTTAAACATTTTAAATTATTAATTATTATACTTTATAGTAATTTTCTTATATTTTTTAAATATGTAAAATTAAATTTTAGAAATTTGAAGATTTTATGCTCAAATTTTCGTTAGTTTGCCTTCGTACTTTGAACTATGTCAGTTAATACAAAATGGAGGGAGTACTTAATTGTATTATTTAATATATATTATAGTTTATTATTTAATCAAATTAAGTTTATCTGATTTAATGCATCTATCATATACATAATTATGATTGGTAATTCATAATTTACCAAGTTCATGAATAAGTAAGTTGTAACTATACTAGTTTTTAATAAAGTGGGAGTTAAAAATGTCATTGAGCCACATAGTTCTTTTATAAAAGGGAGTAACTGGAGGATATCCATACATTACATTTATGAGTGAGATTCTCTAGATTAGAGAGTGTTTGTGTGAAAATTTTAAAAGACTCTACAAGTGATCTTGTAAAAGAAATCACAAAGACAATTGTGGTGGCAACACAAAACCGACCATAGAAGAAGGTGTATTTAATTCTACATAAGTCACCAAGTTCTTCCTTCACTGCTATCAGAGCATGGTATATATGTATTTTCTTCCACCATTATATGGTTAAAATTTAGGAAAAGTCAAAATTTTCTTTTGATAATTTTCAGCGCTAGATTGTAAAAAAATTGATATTGGACCAAGGAGATATGAGTGTTGAATGTTGGTTGCTCGAAACAAAAAGAAATCTAGAAACTCAACATGTAAGACAAGATTTCCAATTTGTTTTGCTCTTTCTGTAGTGTGATGACCTGATCGGCCGTTTTATGTATTTTTTCATGTTTCATCTTTTGAAATTTCCCGTATGTGTATTTGTGGTTATGTGACTTGGGGGATGGTTGATTTGTTTTCAGAAAGGTTTTGGGTTGATTTAGAATACTTGGTTCTTGATTTGGAAGCTTAGGTTAGAAGTGTTGGCCGAGGTTTGACTTTTGTGAAAACGACCCCGGAACGATATTTTGATGGTTCTAATAAATTCAAATAGCTTTTGGACTAAAGCATATGCTCGGAATTGAATCGGAGGTCCCTAGGATGAATAGGCTCTTTTTGTCGAAAGTTGGCAATTTTAAGGTTTAGAATTTTCCTAAGCTTCACCGTGGGTTGACTTTATGGATATCGGGTTTGGATTTTGATTTCGGGCTTAAAATAGATCCATTTTATCGTTTGAAACTTATGTGCTAAGTTTGGTGTCATTCCGAGTTGGTTTGGTAGGAATCGGACGAGTGATTATGATTTTAGAAGTTCTTGAGTTTCATTATAGTTTCTATGCGTTATGGTGTTCAATTCGTAGGTTCGGGTATTATTTTGGTAGATTATTATCTCTTAATTTGCCAATATAAGCTAATCGTGAAATTGATCATTATATGTACAACTGTTAATGTTGCATATCTTGAAATTGATCATTATATGTACAACTGTTAATGTTGCATATCTTTTACCTTGCAATTAAGTGTACATGGCTAAAGAAATTAGATCATGGGAAATTGTGGCTTTGAAGACGATACACATAGACAACGAAAGAGAACGGTGAGCTTATTTTAGTATGATTTGCATTTGGTTAATTCTTTCAAACTCTTGTTTCACTGATTATTGAATGTTGGTATTGATAATAGGTGAATTTAACTATAATTAGGCCCTAAAGAACCACCTTCTTGTATAGTTTTGATGATACAAGTGATAACAAAATGCTCTGATTAGTGCTTTTCATGATTTGCAGGTGATATATTACAAGAGAAGGCTATGGAGTACTTTTGGAATCAAATATGGAGAAAAAGAGGCCAATCGTAAAATTTTGCCAAGTGAACCAAGCGAAGCAGCTCAAGCCAGACCTGAAGAAGGACTGCCGCGGTTCCACCGCGACCGCGGCAGAACCGCGGTAGAAGACGGTCGCGGATAAGTTGAGATTCAGAGAAGGTGTGTGGCCGCGGTTTGACCGCGACCGCGGCAGAACCGCGGCAGAGGCGGAAAAGTTCAGGGACTTAAGTGCAAAACACGGGATTTTTAGCCCAAAACCCTATTTTAAATACTAGACTTCGCCCAAAGGAGGCAAGAATTGTATTGGAGAATTTTTTAGCAAGGAAAACAATTGTGAGAGATCACCCAAAACATATTTCTTCTTTTCTTTGATTTTTCTTGCAAGTTTTATGATGAATATTGTTTTAGTTCGTTTACCCATAGTTATGAGTAGCTAAATCCTTTGTCTAAGGTTTTGATGGAACCTATTGAGGGACGAACTTCTTGTTTATGTGAATACAAATTGCTAGTTCCAATCTCTATTTGTTCAACTATGTGTTTGTTGTAGTTAATTGACAGGATCCTCAATTAGCTGTGCCTATTTAGTGTGTATAACTCGGGAGAGAGTGCATATTTAGGTAATTGTTGAACAACACCACTCCCAAAGTATATAAGGGATCAATAACCGAGGGTTTAAAGGCGGAATTAGGGATAACGAAGCCTTGGGTGTAATCTAAAGTGAATTGTGTTAAATAAAGCAAGCTAGTGTATCTCGGAAGAGTGCAACTAGTAAATTACTATGATTACTCGGGAGAGATTTATGGTAAGAAGAGCGTTCATGATTGATACAGATGTGTTGGTTAATTTGTATGAAGCATAAACAGAAGGAATTCCATCAATAGGGAAAATCATTACCTTAGCACTTTCTCATTATTGTTTACAGCTTAGCATCTTTAATTTGTAGCTATTAGTTACTGTTAATCTTAGTTATTAAAAACACCATCAACTGTGATTCTCAACGTTTGGGAAATTGATTCTAAAGAGTTTAGTAGGTCTAAAGATAGTGATTGATAGGTTAATTCTCTGTGGATTCGACTCTGGGCACAATACTCAGGTTATATTTGCAACGTCCGCATTGTCCTTTTTATAAGGCATAGTTGGGCGTGATCAAATTTTGGCGCCGTTGCCGGGGAATTAACGGAATTATCAGTTACCATTGATAGAAATACAAAAATTCTTAGTGTGATCAGTTTTCTCTCTACCCAATTTTTCATTGAAATTTTGACGGTTGTTGATCTAGTCGCACGGGTTTAATGCCTAGAAATTCTACGAGGACTGGAGAACCACTTGAAGGACTCTCAGACCCCGAGAAAACATTCCGGACATTGAACCGTGCCAACAAAAGACTTCAACAATCCCAACAAACACACAAATTCGAAATTGACATGGGAGACGTAAACGACCCCAGCGGAAACGTCAGGAATGAGCAAGTTGGCTTAAATGCCAGAGAAGTGGCACCTCCTGTGCCTGAGGGTGCACTATATGACTGGGCACAACCCACAGCTGACAATCTGGCCACTGCCATTGTCGTGCCCGCAATACAAGCTGAATAGTTCCAGATCACAAATAACATGCTGCACTTGTTGAAAAACAAGGGACTCTTTTCTGGGACGCAAATAGAAGATCCTCAGCAGCACTTAAAGAACTTCCTGTCTATCTGCAAAACTCAAAGGCAACCCAACGTGACTCCGGAAGCAATCAGGCTGTTATTGTTTCCATTCTCGGTGACAGGAGCTGCTCATGTTTGGCTAAACTCGCTTCCCATAAACTCTATAGAAACTTGGGATGAGTTAGTCAAGCAATTTCATAACAAGTTCCACCCGCCCAACAAAACTGCTCAACAAATTGATGAAATCGTGAGCTTCAAACAGAAACCAATAGAGACACTGCATGAGACATGGGGCAGGTTTAAAGGAATGTTGGTTATGTGTCCCCACCACGGTGTTCCAGAACAGATGTTGGGACAACGGTTTTACATGGGACTGTCAGACAGCATGAAGAATATTGTGGATGCCTCAGCTGGTGGGGCATTCTTGAGCAAAACCTGGAGAGAAGGCCAGAATCTGCTTGACAAGATGGCACAGAATTCGGGGTGGACGACCAGGAATGCACCTATCACTCCAGTGGTGCACTCAGTGCCTCTTGATCCCTCAAATACCATGGCTGAAAATATGGCGACCCTCCTGACACAGATGAGCATACTCACCAAAAAGGTGGAGGAATCAGGGCAGAAACAGCAAGTACATATTGTACACACTACCAACGGGGGCTTGTGCACATCTTGCATTAGCCAGCCAATTGGTAATCCTTGGAACGCAGAACATGATCGTCAGCATCAACACCCTGAGGACATGAACTATGTGTCCAACTATGGAGGCCAGAGACAGGGCAATCAGAACTGGGGCCAGCAAAATCAGCAGCAATACAGGCCGGCGCAGCCACAGTTTAGAACAGGAAACATGGTAGGTATGAGACCCCCCAACAATATGGCACCTTATCCCAGGCCACAGGGGTACAACAATCACAATCAGCAGCAAGGGTATCATCCACCTCAGCAGCAGCATGGTGGAAGACAAGAAGATGGGTTTTCTAGACTGGAAGCAATGATGCAGTAGGTTATTGGGTCCAATGCCAAAATCAATGAGAGAGTAGATGCACATGATGCAGCAATCAAAAATATTGAAGTGCAAATGGGCCAGATTTTAATGTCTCTGAACAATCGTCCTCAGGGGACATTACCTGCAGACACTCAGATAAATCCGAAAGATCAGGGTCCAAAGCAGCTGATGGCGGTGAGTCTACGAAATGGCAGAGACTTGGATGTAGAGCAAGAGAGAGCTAGAGAAACTAGACAGCCTGAGACACTCATACCAGTGCCCATTGAGGTGGATGAGACAACTAAACTGACAGAGGTGATAGTCCAGCCTACACAAGAAGAAGAGAGCATTCAGCAGGAGACCGAGAAAGCAGCTGACCCAGTTCAGGAGCCAGTAATTGAGATAGTAGCTGGTAAAGATCAGTCCCAAGTGATTGGGAAGAAGAGACCTCCTGCACCTTTTCCACAGAGGTTGGCCAAGCATCAAAAGGAGGAGCAATATAAGAAGTTCTTTGAGATGCTTAAACAAAT